TTATGGATGCTGTCTACCATGCATCCAGCTACGAACTGGTCCACACCAACATCCTAGTAAACAACTGCATCGTGCTCACTGACAGCACCCCATACCCATTATGCACTGCCCCTGGGCTGCAAGAAGGGGGCCGAGCTGACTCCTGAGGAGGAAGAGATTTTGGACAAAAATGATCAAAGGAAATTCATTAGAAATATGATGAAAGGAAAAATAATGGCAAAGTTAGCAGGCTCATGGAGCAGTGGTTCTTAACCTTCTGGCCCTTTAAATACAGTTCCTCATGTTGTGACCCAACCATAAAATTATTTTCGTTGCTACTTCATAACTGTAATATTGCTACTGTTATGAATCGTAATGTAAATATCTGATATGCAGGATGGTCTTAGGCGACCCCTGTGAAAGGGTCATTCGACTGCCAAAGGTGTCGCGACCCACAGGTTGAGAACCGCTGTCACAGAGGAACAGTTCCACCAGGCAAGCTTCTTGTATGCATCCCTTTAAGACCAGGCCAGTGTGTCAGAGCAAATGTCTATGCACTAGAAGGTAAGGAGCTGGAGTTCTATCTGAGGAAAATCAAGGCTCAGAAAGGCAAATAACTCCTCCTCCCTCCTATCTTAGCTCATGTAATAAAGGTGTTTATTGTTCAAAATAAAAGAGCCCTGGCCGGTTTGGCTCAGTGGATAGAACGTCGGCCTGCGGACTGAAAGGTCCCAGGTTCCATTCCAGTCAAGGGCATGTACCTTGGTTGCGGGCACATCCCCAGTGGGAGTGTGCAGGAGGCAGCTGATCAATGTTTCTCTCTCATCAATGTTTCTAACTCTCTATCCCTCTACCTTCCTCTCTGTGAAAAATCAATAAAATATATTTTTTTAAAAAGAAAAGAAAAGTAGGAGAAGCAGCATCCTGTGTAGCCAGCATAACTGTCCAGGTTGTTGGTACATTCTGACAGTGGAGACAAATCCAAATCACAATCTTATGTCATAGTCATTGCTGGCACATAAGTAGCTTCCTCTGCCTTGATTCTGTATTTATCGGGCAACTTTCCAACTTATGGCTTGTGTCCTAAGTCTTTTTTCCCCTCCTTAGGGAAAATGCTTTAACAAGTCAAGGCAAGCATCTGAACCATTCACTTATTTTCAAGCATGCAACACCCCGCCCCCCACCTGTAGGACCATCCCTTAGGGCAGTGGTTCTCAACCTGTGGGTGGCGACTCCTTTGGGGGTCGAACAACCCTTTCACAAGGGTCGCCTAAGACCATTGGAAAACACATATATAATTACATATTGTTTTTGTGATTAGTCACTATGCTTTAATTATGTTCAATTTGTAACAATGAAATTGGGGGTCACCACAACATGAGGAACTGTATTAAAAGATCGCAGCATTAGGAAGGTTGAGAACCACTGCCTTAGGGAAATAAAGGATTATGACACATCACACTATGTGTCAGCTTTCTCTGCCTATAATTAAACAAGATCTGAATAGTGAAAGACAGTGTGTGTATGTATATGCTTATGTGTGACACAGAGTAACAGTGTCACAGAGACATAGGGTAAATTTCAGAGAAATGGCAGATTCCATCATTCTGACCCTAACATTTGTCTACTGTTTGGTAAGATTTTTCACACAAGATAGTCTTTACCTCAGTGGAAGAAAATATTTAAGCAATTTAGCTTAAGATAAGTTTCATGTCTACAGTATGGTGAATATAACTTGTTTGGAAGTCTGGTTCTGCCTCAGCTTCCTATTCTCTAAAATGCTTGCTCTGTTTACCTCATCAGAATGGTTGTGAAGTTAAATTTGATATTAGAATCAGGGTGAAAAGCACCACACAGTTGTGAAGTGTTACTGTTATTACTATTATTTAACAGGGAGTAGTACTTCCCTCAATAAGAATTCCAGCACATATTCTACAACTTCCAAAGCTTCCTTTTCTCTAAGAGAGTCCTGTTGAGAACTGTTTTTTGATAGTTATCTTTTGTAACTCCTCAGTATTTCCTCACCCCCCCGCTTTGATTATTACCTCTTTGGGGACAAAAACATAGACTTATTCATTCATCATTAAACTTTTTTGACTATTTCTAATGGGCCAGGCAAAGTGTCAGACCTCTGAGGATACGACGAGACAGATGCATAAACAGATAATTAGAATATGTGGGTAAATATAATGATAGAGTAATACGCTTAGGATATTACGGGAGTGTGGAGAGCTGACACCCCAGGGCAACAGGCAGAGTTAGGAAAGGCTTTCCTGAGGGGAAAACTATAAACTGAATAAGTCAGTAGTACTTATGGCTGCAAGGAACGGACTTCCTGACTAAGGATGGTTGAAGCTCTAAGACCATTTATTACTCACTTAAAAAGCCCAGAAACAAATAGGTGTATCTAACAACTGGATGTCATCAAAGACAGGTTTCTACTTATCTCTCTTCTCTGTGATTCTTGGTGTATTATCTTTCTGTCCTGTGGATATCAACTCTTTGTTGCCAAAGATGGCAGTAACTCCAAGCACCATATAACACATCAAGGCAGGAAGAGAATTTTAGTTTTAGTCCCCGCTGTTGGAAACAGGAAGGAAGGGAACTGGGGAGTAGGAAGGTTTTCATTTCATATAGTTTTTATTTTGTAGGAGATAAAGCAGAAGCAGCCATACACTATTGGCCCTGGCTCTTTGTACATATTGTTCCTTCTGCCTGGCAACCATGGTCTCTGGAAACCTTCCCACTTACTGTATCTCAGTACCTAGTTATAGTACCTGGCACATAGTAAGTAGTCAGCAATGCTCTTGAAAACAGGCAGAACAAAAGTAGGGACAGTTGAACACAACAAGCAAGTGAACTCCCAAAAATGTAGTCTCAAATCAGGGGAGTAACAAGGCCATTATAATACAGAATGGTAAGCCCTGGCTAGTGCAGTCAGTGGTTAGAGCATTGGACTGGGCACTGAAGCATTTCGGGTTGGATTCCCATTCAAGGGCACATACCTGGGTTGTGGACCAGTCAATGCGTCTCTCTCACATTGACATTTCTCTCTCTTCTCCTCCCACCCTCCTCCCTTTCATTCTCTCTGAAAAGCAATGGATAAAATATCCTCAGGTGAGGATTAACAACAAGAACAAAAAGAATGGTAAGCCCTGGCCAGTGTGGCTCAGTTGGTTGGGCAGGCATCATTCCGTGCACCTAAAGGTTGTTGGTTTGATTCTCCATCAGGGTATGTTCCCAGGTTGCGAGCTGGATCCCCAGTTGGGGGCGTGCAGGAGGCAGCTGGTCAATATTCCACTCTCATGTCGATGTTTCTCTCCCTCTCCCTTCCTCTCTCTCTAAATTCAATAAATTATCTTTTTAAAAATATATTTTTTACTGATTTCAGAGAGGAAGGGAAAGGGAGAGAGAGAGATAGAAACATCAATGATGAGAGAATCATTGATTGGCTGCCTCCTGCAGCCTCACACTGGGGATCAAGCCTACAACCCGGGGATGTGCCCTGAATCGAACCATGACCTTCTGGTTCATAGGTTGACACTCAACCACTGAGCCACGCTGGCTGGGCTCAATAAAATATTTTTTAAAAAACAACAACACAAAATGGTAAGTGCTAGGATGTTGTTAATTATAAGATACATTGAGAGCACATAGGAGTCAGAGAAGATAGCTTAGAAAGTGTGATTGTTTAAACTGAGTCCTAGAGGACTGTAGAAATAACTAAACCCAGAAGGAAAGAAAATCTTTGGTCTGTACTTTAATTGACACAACATAAAGTAAATATAATCCTCTTTGGGGAAGGAAGGACCTTGAAGAGATTCTAGTGAGAAAAAAAGGAAGTATTAATAGTAACTGATTATATAGCATCCATTATTATTAAGATTTCTAAAAATTTATATTTTCTGTACTTATTTTATTTTAGTGAAAAATAGCAAAAATACAAGACTTTGCTCTAACCGGTTTGGCTCAGTGGATAGAGCGTCAGCCTGAGGATCAAAGGTCCCAGGTTTGATTCCAGTCAAGGGCATGTACCTTGGTTGCAGGCACATCCCCAGTGGGGAGTATGCAGGAGGCAGCTGATCGATGTTGCTCTCTCATCAATGTTTCCAACTCTCTATCCCTCTCCCTTCCTCTCTTTAAAAATCAATAAAATATATTTTTAAAAATCCAAGACTTTAATTTTCTTATAATGTCTTAATTTTTTTTCACTCTTTTCAGCATCTCTTACTCTGAAAGTTTTCAGGCATCTAACTCTACATTAAAACTAATACATACATATTTTGCAATAGCATGTAAAAATGGAGGTTTTGGCATAATAGAAGAGTTGTCTGTATATTAAATACAGGATGCCTAGTTAAACTTGAATTTCAGATAAAAAATGAATAATGTTTAATATAAGAATACAATTGCATGGACTATACTTATAGTACTAAATCATTAGTTGCTTATCTGAAATTCAAATTTAATTGGCTGTCCTGTATTTTTATTTGCTAAATCTGGCAACCCTAATAATAGATACCAAATTCCAAAGAGAAGTGCTAAACTAGGATTTACAAAGTAATTGACTCTTAATCTCTAACTCACTCTGAAAGGATGAAATCACCAAGTGAGAACCTGGTTTAACAGAATTTGGAAAGATGGATCCATGTCACCCATCTTCCCTATCCTTCAGTATATCCTGGGATATAAGCACTTAATTTATCTCAAGTTGGGCCTAGATATGGCAGCTGCATTTAAGGTATGTCACTGAACCATGAGGTAGACAAAAGCATACTACTATGGGTTTTCTGGTACTTTCAATAATAAAATCCCAATAATAACGGATGGAATTCAAAGTGGACTAATCCAGTGTTAGATTAGGTTTCATGGTATTATAACTGGTTGCTTTGTTCATATTATTCCATAGTGACATCTGCAGGCCTCCGGAGAGAAACACTAAAACAACTAATACTTTTGGTAACTCCTTGGTGCTGTAAGAGAAAGTTAAGTTGGGTGGGGAGGAGGTGGGGAGCCATTTGACCAAAAGCCCAATTATCAAAGTGCTTCCAGTCCTTAACTTACTGTGATTGAATGGATGCAAGAGATTTTCTGAAGGAAGATTGAACATCTAACTGGAGCAGCATGGGAATAAGTGGGTACCCACCCAGCTGGGCCCACAGTGAATGTAGTGATGTCTTCTCAGCTATTGGGTAGCTTGAAGTGGACTGATCAGCATTCCAGATGGCTGCCATCTGATCTTCTTGTCTAGAGAGTCAGAGAGCACTAATTGAAATCACCAAACTCTGCTGCACTCCATAGGCAATCAAAAGATATGATTCTTATTCTCCCCTTTTTTCTTCACCACCACCACCCTGTCCTATAATGCCCTCCCTCACACTGAGGAACATTAGCCATGCCCACTTTGACTGATAAATGAATTAAAACAGCAGAATTTGCTGAAATCGCCCCACCTCCCCCTAAAAACGCTGCATTTCCATGATTTTACCTAGTAATCCATTTTAAAACTGCCTTCTTAGCTGCCTGGATTACTGTATATGGACCATATACAGAAAACTTTTTTCTTTTTTCTCAGCAACAATCTTTTTCCTCTTCCTTCCCAAAGCTCCTACTTTCTTTTTTAAAGTAATACTTCTAAATTTCTTCATTGTGTATTAATTTGCTGCTTAGGAAGAAAGAATCAGCTTCTTTTTAAAAAGGGAACTCAAAATTGGATGTTAGATATTTAAGTAGGAATATATATAAATAAGCCTCTTGTTAAATTAGCTAAGAAAATTAATAATCCTTAGACTCTCCACTATACCATATTATAATTGTCAGGGAGGGGAAGATCTTGGACAGAAAAAAAAAGCATACCATCCAAAGAAAGTTTAATGGCAGTCTTTCCTACCACATACCTAAATTTCTTGAATATGTCAAGTTTTCTGTCCTCTTTCATTAGTAGCTCTAGGAACGGCTGTTGAATAACTTTGGTAGGGGCAGGTTTCTGCTTTTTGTCGATGAGCAAAGGTACAGGTTGACTAAGATTCAATTGATACATATCATGGAGCTAAAAATAAATAAATAAAAGAGGAAACAATGAAAAGAAAGGGCCAGAATCTTCAGGAAGGTCTTCTGAGCTGGCCCTCGCTTAACTACAAGCATGACTCTTCATTTATCATGGATTTGCAAACCCTATTTCTCCAGTCTCCTCCCCTTCTCCAACTACTACTCAACCTCCACCCCACCTCCAACACAATTTCAGTGGTGGCCGCTATGATGTATATAAACCTAGCTCCTGCATAAGCTCTGATCCTGGCCCTTTCATCTCCTAGCTGTGTGACTTTGAGCTAGTTGCTAACTTTATCGACACCTCTTTCTCCTTATTCTATGAGGGTAATAGCAGGGTTGTTGTAAAAATTGCATAACATAATATATATGGGAGCACTTCATAAATTGTAAGAACTATGCAAATGCAATGAAAGCAAACATTTACTGAATCCTTGCTGAATGTTAGATGCTTTCTAAATAATAATTCATTTGATATTTACAACAACCTTATGAGAAAGGTGCTGTTATTGTCCTTGTCTTATACATGGGGATTTGGAATTCAGGAAATTTAAGTGGCTTGTCCATGGTCTCCTAGTTGGTATGTAGTGGAGCTGATTTGAACCCATGTAGTCTGGTAGCAGAACTAACTTCTTGACCACCACCCTGACTCAGTGAAAGGTATTTATTTCATTTCTATCCTCTTCTCTCTTTTGCTTTTTTCTCCCCCTTCTTTATGCCTTGTTACCCACCTTATCATCTAGATTAAGGCTGCCTTGCCCTACCTGGTTTGGCTCAGTGGATAGAGCATCAGTTTGAGGACTCAAGGGTCCCAGGTTTGATTCCGGTCAAGGGCATGTACCTTGGTTGCGGGCACATCCCCAGTAGGAGGTGTGCAGGAGGCAGCTGATCGATGTTTCTCTCTCATCGATGTTTCTAATTCTCTATCCCTCTCCCTTCCTCTCTGTAAAAAATCAATAAAATAGATTAAGGCTGCCTGGACCCCAGACCCTATTCATCCTCTGACATGCCCTAGATATTGTGATTCCTGTTAGACAGTTCATGACACTGCCAACTGATCTTGCTTTCCACTTACATTGGCCATATTTTCCAAGCAATAAACTGTCAAAAATATCCTTTTTTTTTTTTTACAAAGATCTTTAATACTTAAAATGTAGCCCTTCTGGAAAATTCAGAATATGTCTGATTTGAATCAGGCTATGATGAGAAGTTTCTGTACCTTCTAACATAGCAAGTAAACTGATCTTATTAAGTAACTAAATTAATTAATTTAGTAAAAGAAAAGGATATATAGATACAAAATGTTTCTAGAATTCCCAGGATGTTCCAGAATTTCGTGCTAGAACATGTAATGGGAGCGTGTAATCCAGAGCAAAGTGCTCTAATCTCACCTTTATAACTTTTTGGAAGGTCATCTCAGAGGGGGCTCTGGGACATAATGAGTGGATTGTTAGAGTTAAACAGGGTTTTCTCTGCATGGTGCTATGTAAGCAAGTTAAATAAATCCTTATCTCCTTTCTTGTAAACTCACCAAATTAAAGCTTGCTTTCTGATAGTTGTGAGGCAAGGAGTAACTGTCATGAATCAGTTGGAGAGTAGTGACTTCAAGAGAGGCTGGTAGATGTGGGTTGACTAGGAATGAGTTGAACACTTCTAGAAGTCTCTCCTAATCTAGTCTTTTCTCATCTAGGAAGTCCAGCCAGTATTCCTGTTGTCAATTTAGGAGTTTCACTGAAGTCACAGTGTAATTGATTGAATGGTGAAGCCCCAGAAGATACGTTCACCCAGAACCTGTGAATGCGACCTTATTTAGAAAAAAGGTCTTTACAGGTGTGATTAAGTTAAGGATCTCAAGATGAGATCATCCTGGATTAACCAGGTGGGTCCTAAATCCATGACACATGACTTTGTAAGATTCAGAAGTGAAGACAGACAAGCTGGGAAAAGGGCTAAGGGAAAAATGAATGCAGAGGATAGGGGTTATGCAGCTACAAGTCAATGAATGCCAAAGATTGTCTATAGCTACCAGACTCTTGGAGAGAGACATGAAATACATTTCTCAAAGCCTCCAGAAAGAACCATCTCGATTCTTTCTCCATCTTGATTTCATAAACTGGCCTTCAGAACTCTAAGAGAATACATTTCTGTTGTTTTAAGCCACGAAGTTTGTTAAAGTAGCCCTAGGAAACCAATATACAAGGTATCTCCAGATAAATGTTATTGTCAAAGCTTACCACTCTCACTTTTCTTGTAACATACTGGGGTGAGGGAATAGAAAACAGATTACCTGGCTAAATAAGAACATCATTTTCCTCAGGCACTGGTTCCGTTTCTGCTCTAGAGACTTTTGCTTCTCGGTCCAGACCCCCATCATCTTTTTCTGGTAGCCATCAATTCTGTTCAGCATTATGTAAAGATTCTGGGTCTCATAACCTTTCCCACTGTTTTGGATGGCTAGTAATCTTTTGATTATGTTGTTTCTGGAAAAAAAATTAACAAGAATTAGATTGATATAATTACTGACCTTAACTCAACAAACCTGGCCTTAGTTACTTCAATTCTCATCTCATCCTTAATAAGTAGAGAGGGATGGGATAGGGATGGGAGGCTTACTTAATCAAATCTTAATCTAGTTCCATATATGACTAAACTTTCAAAAATCTATGACTGTCAAATTTTTATTAACCCTTCACAGTTTAGTGTTATAATAGTATTTTTATTATTATTTAAATACATTAAAATTCTAGTATTGATATGTACAAGACATAATCCTATATAATAAAAGGGTAATATGCAAACTGATGCTAACAGCAGAATGACTGGGAATGACTGGTCACTATGACACATACTGACCACCGGGGGGCAGATGCTTAATGCAGCAACTGCCCCCTGGTGGTCAGTGTGCTCCCACAGGGGGAGCTCTGCTCAGCCACAAGCCAGGCTGATGGCTGCCAGTACAGCAGTGGTTGTAAAAGAATCCTACATAATAAAAGCCTAATATGCTAAGTATCAGTCATCTGGTCATCTGTTCAACCAATCAAAGTGTAATATGCTAATGATATGCTAAGGCTGCTCAACCACTTGCTATGATGTGCACTGACCACCAGGGGGCAGATGCTCCTACCAGTAGGTTAGCTTGCTGCTGGGATCCGGCCATTCAGGACTGCGGGAGCCGGGCCAGACACACCTGGAGCCCTCCCGCAGTCCCTCGCCAGCTGGCCAACCTCCCACATCCCCCCACCTCTGGCCCCGATCGTGCACTGGTAGGGGTCCCTCAGCCTGGCCTGTGCCCTCTCCCATCTGGGACCCCTCAGGGGATGTTGGAGAGCTGATTTTGGCCTGATCCCACAGGCCAGGCTGAGAGACCCCCCAGTGGTGCACAAATTCGTGCACCAGGCCTCTAGTACAATCATAAAAAAGATAGTGTCTTTGCCTTGAAAGCATTTCAAAGCCAGAATAGGAGACTAATAAATTAACTGTGTCAAAGAGAGAATGAACAAATGCTAAATAAAAATGTAAACATGCTATTTGAACAAAAACAAATGCATAATTAGTTATAGTAAGAGAAATAAAGAAGGCTTTATAAGAAGATGTTGAATAGGATCTTGAGGAATAGTCATAAAAATGTATTCTCATCCTAACTGGTTTGGCTCAGTGGATAGAGCATCGCCCTGCAGACTGAAGGGTCCCAGGTTCGATTCCAGTCAAGGGCATGTTCTGTGGTTGCGGGCACATCCCAAGAAGGGAGTGTGCAGGAGGCAGCTGATCGATGTTTCTCTCTCATCGATGTTTCTAACTCTCTATCCCTCTCCCTTCCTCTCTGTAAAAAATCAATAAAAATATATATTAAAAAAAATGTATTCTCATAGCATACCACCATGTTTGGGTCTCCTAAACAGATAGTGTTTCACCATCCCCATACTACAGGAGAGGAAAAGGAATCTGCGCAAAAAAAAATTAAAGATTTTTGAAGTGATTTTTACAGAGAGAAGGGTGAGGGGGAAGAGAGAGGCAATTAGCTGCCTCCTGCACGCCCCCAACTGGGGATCAAGTCTGCAGCTGGGTTATATGCCCTCACCAGGAATCAAACCAGCAACCTCTTGATGCATGGGTTGATGCTCAACCACTGACCCATACCGACCAGGCTAAATGATTTACTAAAGTCACATAAATAAATAGCATATTTGGGAAGCAAACCTAGATCTTCTCTCTTTTCAGAATACCAATATTTCTCAAAGTGTGGACTGAATCATTTGTCGGGGAAGGAGGAAATGCTTGTTAAAAATACAGATTCCAAGGTTCCTCAGACCTTTTTAATCAAAATCTTGGTGTGTAGGCTTCGAGATCTGTATTTTAAACAGAATCTCAGGTAAATCTTAAGTTTGGGAAGAAGGGGATGAGGAATTCCAGGTTGAAGTAATACTTAATACAAATGTAAGAGAATGGAAGTTATATTTTGGGAATGGTAAATAGTCTGAGACTTTTAGACCATGGATATATGAAAGGATATGGTGGGAAGAAGACTGGAATGGCTGGATTATGAAAGGACTTAAAAGGCATGTTAAAGAGTTTGGATTTGGGGGGCAGGAGTTGCCAAGGGGAATAATTGAAGATATGTTTCTGAACATATGCGTTTTACATACATATTATAAACACACACAGAGAGAGGAAACAACTCTTAGGTCCCTTTTGTGGGTTATAATTAATAACTTAGAACCTACTAAATATATGGATCATTTAATACTTAAACAGGTCAATTTTCTGCGTTAACTTAGTATATTTAATTAAATTAATTTTCCAATAGCCTTGGATTTTTTTCCATGTCCTATAGGTGATTTTCGTTTTTTTCACTCTTAAACCATCTTTATTACATGTGTTTTTGATAACTTCTCCATATCAATTATAGAATGCCTATCACACCCAGTCCCATAAATAACACTGTTCTCAATGAAGCAAGTGGGTAACATTCTTATCACCATCTTTTATACTATTCAAAAGTAGTTAATATTATTATACTTCATATCTTCTCGCCCATATAATGTCAAGAGTCTTCTTGACCTAGCTATCTTTGTTATGGAATCTTTAATCTATTAATATTTTATTCCTTATTATACCTGTTGGTGATCTGATTAAAATAACATTAAATATTAAATAAGAACTTTCTGGGAAAAATGAATTCACTTTTGATGGGATTAAAGTTATACTTGTATAAGTTAAATATTGTTACAAAATGTTGATCTATGTATTTCAGTTTTTAAATGATTTTACTGAAGCAGGTCAGATCATGTCACTTAGACTTCAAAATCTCCAGTCAGGGGGAATAGGAAAGGGGAAAATGGGAGATATCTGTAATACTATCAACAATAAAAAATATATGCAAAAAATTTTAAAATCTCCAATAAATCTAAACAAACTAATTGCCATATAAAAATTAAGAAAGTTGTCTAAGAACTTCCCTCCAAAAGTACCAAGCCTATATAATATCATAGATGAGATCTGCCAAACCTTAAAAGAACAACTAATTTTACTGTTAAACTCTCAAGCATAAAAAAAAGTTTTCACATTTTTTAATGATAGAAGCTTAAAATTATATTAAAAATTGACAAAAATAGCACAAAAAATTGACAAAGATAGCACCAATCAAACTTACTAATTAATGTAAAACAACACCTAAATGAAACATTAGCAAACAAACTTCATAACATTCAAAGAAGGATACACCAAGGACAAATAGGATTTATTCCAGGAATGCAGTGATGGTTTAATAAAATTAATTATATTAATAAATCTGAGTAGAAAGCAATATTTTCTTTAATGCACATGAAAATGACATGTCAAAATCACATTTAATAAAAAATGTGTTTTAACAAATTTAACAAAATTCAACATCCACTCTTGATTTAAAAAAAACATAATAGAACAGGAACAAATGGATACTTTAATATGATAAAAATGTACTTAAACCTAAAAGTCAGTATTTATTCACTGACAAATATAAGAAAGACTAGAGGCCCAGTACACGAAAATTGGTGCATTGGGGTGGGGGGGGGGTGTCCCTCAGCCTGGCCAGCACCTTCTCACAGTCCAGGACCCCTTAGGGGATGTCCCCAGGGGATCGAGCCTAAGCTGGCAGCCAGACATCCCTCTGGCAGCCCAGGAGCCCTCGGGGGATGTCCGACTGATGGGAACAGGCCTAAGCTGCAGTTGGACATCCTAGCACTGCCACAGAAGCAGGAGAGGTTCCCACCACTGCTGCTGCGCTCACAGCCCTCGGCCCAGCTTGTAGCTGAGCAGAACTCCTCCTGTGGAAACACACCGACCACCAGGGGGCAGCTCCTGCATTAAGCGTCTGCCCCCTAGTGGTCAGTGCATGTCACAGCAACTGGTCATTCCACTGTTAGGGTCAATTTGCATATTACCCTTTTATTATATAGAATGTTCATTATTGCCACTATCTTTTTAACCAATTTATAGTTATTTTTTAATAAATAGCTATGAAAGGGCTTATACTTTGGCCATCTGAGATATATAGAATGGAGAAAATAAGAACAAAGAAGAAATTGACTTAGGTTAAGAATATTTTACAACTTTTTCAGAAAAGAGAATATCAATGTAAGTGATCCTTTAAACACACTTGAATATGAATTTTTTTTTAGAAAAATAACATGGGGCCACAGGATGGCACTTATAGCTGTTACTCAGGGCAGTCAAATGAATAAAGATGACCTGGTAGCCATATCACCAATATTTTTTAACAGAGTCCTGGAGATACTAACCAATTCAGATAATCAAGAGACAGAAATTAGATGTTTAAAAATTGGCAAACCTAAATGTAAAATATTATTATTGGTAGGCTTTGATTATATACCTGGAGAACTCAAAAATATCCATTAAAAAACTTCCACATGCTTGAATAGCATAAATGGCTGCATACAAAATTGATATAGAGAAATCTAGCCTTCATTTATAAAAGTAATGAATTAGAAGATATCACAGAAAGAGAGAGTCCATTTACAATAGTAACCACAAAAATAAAAACTGCCCAGCTGGTATGGATGAGCATCGACCTATGAACCAGGAGGTCACGGTTCTATTCCTGATCAGGGCATATGTCCTGGTTGTGGGCTTGATCCCCAGTGGGAGGTGTGCAGAAGGCAGCCAATCAGTGATTCTCATCATTGATGTTTCTATCTCTCCCTCTCCCTTCCTCTCTGAAATCAATAAAAATATTTTCTAAAAAACACAACTACCAGGATATACACTTATGGAAGAATATGGAAGAGTTATACAAAAACCTTTTCCAGAAGGACACACACATACTCGAACAAAAAGGTATACCATATTCTTGGATAGGAAGACAGTGTTAGTAAAGATAAGCTAGATTTGCTTTTTTAACAACCTCAAATCTTAGTGGCTAAAAAGAAAATTTTACTTGTTGTTCATACTACAAATCCACTAGGGCTCAGCAGGGAGAGCTTCGTTGTATACTCCCAAGAACACAGGCTAAAAAAACAGCTATCATCTTAAACATCGTAGGTTATTGTGGCAGAGGAAAATGAGAAATCTGGAGGGTGTCAGACTGACAATGCTCAGCACAGAAGTGACACATACCAATTCTGCTCACATCTCATTCACAAGGACTGGCAAACACTGTAATGACTATGACAAAGATTCAACATCATGAGAATAAAACTGCAATAAATAACATGGAATAGAAGTGACTCATATATATGTAATCAGTAAAAAATAATAAAAAGTCCAGATATGTACCTAATTGATACAAGAATTTATCATTAAGATACGTTTAAATAAGAAGAGGGAACTGGG